CACACACACACACACACACACAGAGTGTGCCTTCTTCATTATGTACACACACACTCTTTCTCTCTCTCTTCCCTTCCTTAATTGCTCTCTGTGTCTGTCTCCCTCTCCCTCATTACATGGACACCCCCACCCCCCACTCCTGGCCTCAGGGTACCAGCATGGCCTCATGCTCCTGCAGTCCAGTGATGCAGCCAGGGACCATGAGCTGCATGCAGAGAAAGCAGCTGCAGGCACAGGCTTTGGTGCATGTGGGGGGGGGGGGTGGAGCCAGCCTGGTCTCTCCTGACTCCTGCCAGCTTCCCCTGGGTCCTACTGCCCCTGACTTATCCCATCTTTGACAGCAGCTAGGAGCACATAAATATTATTTTTCTAAACTTCTTAGGTGCCTTGTGGGCCAAATCTGGCCTGCAGGCCATATTTTGCCACCCCTATGTTATATACTATTCTCCTTTGGTCACAGCTAATCAGTATTATAACCTAACTTAAACTATTTATGTCTTTGGTGTTAATACAAAATTGTTATTCTATTTTGTGGATGGAAATAAAGAGGCAAGGAAGGTGAGTGCTTTGTAGCACAGCTATGGCCAAGCTAGCTTAAGTACTACTAGCAATCTACTCTGCTACCAAGGAACTCAGCAAGTCCTAACTGCAAGCATTCATTACATTTCTTGGATGAGTTTTTCAGCCCATGTCAAATATCATGTTTCTCTGGCTATACTTTTAGCAGGACCCAAGATATTCAGTTGAAAGCTAGCCTAGCTATGCCTATATTATTCAGTAATCTAAATTATAGGCACACATTGTTTCTTATCTCCTGCATATCTAAATCAGAACATTTTACAAGAACAGTCCTGGTTTTTCATAGTTGTCCTTGATATCCTGAGAACTTCTTTATGATACCTAAATCATTCCAATTTTTTTAGTTAAGCAGTTTAAGGTTTCATGTAAAATTTTGCATAAGTCACTGCTATTTTGAAACCCCCCCCCCCAACAATTACCACACTTTTACTCTCATCAGTTATCAGGCACAGTTATCTTTGTATTGTGTCAGTAGCTCCCCAAGGTCAAAGCTTGTCTTATCTTGTCAGGATGCGTCATCTTGTTGCTACTATGGATTCAATGAGTATATAATCAATAGGAGTGTGTAAAGCGGGATCTATTTGATTTGGATTTGGATTCAGACTGAATCAGGGACAGTGATTCAATTCATTGATTCAGATCACTGTCCTGATTTGATTAGCTGAATCTGAAGTTTTGATGCTGATTCTGAGAATCAGCAATATGGACATAGACACAGCTTTAAATGTTTTTTCTTCATACCTTGGGGTACCAGCACAGCTTGTGAATGCTGAGATGCTGGAGCGCATGGAGTGTCCCACAGGAGTGGGGTGAGGGGCCCTTCATATGCCAAGCGTGGAACCAGGAAGTGAACTGGAAGTACTTCCAGTCCAATTCCAGGTCCACTGGGAAGCACAAAGCCTACCCCCCCCGCACCTGCCCGGCTTGGCGATCAGACCCCAGATGCCCATCTCCAAGCCAAAGGAGTGTTGGGGGGGAACCCTGAATGCTCCCTGGCAGACCCAAAAGTGGACTGGAAGTGTTTCTGGTCCATTTTCAGGTCTGCTGCTGAGTGTGCTGGGGAGCCCCCTGTGCTTCTGTGGGATGCTCCATCTGCCCCGCAACTGCAGCATTCACGAGCCACCTGCTACTTAGAGGTATGTAGAAAAAAAGTTAAAAGTTGTATATATGTCTGAATCACTGAATCTTTCCAAATCTCTCCAAATCAATTTGGATAGTTCTGAACTGGACTGAATCTCCACTGATTCGAGTCACAGACTGAAGCTTCTCACAGCCCTAATAATCAAGTCACTCTAAAATCTTTACTTTGGCTTATCAGAGTAGGGGGTTGAGGAGGGAACTGATTTATATTGTCATCTAAAATACAGAAATGGGGGAAGCAGCAGCAATGGGGAAAACGGAAAACAAAGCAGGAGAGTCCAGCTGCTTTTTACCTGTGGAAATCAAAGAATTCCAAAACAGGCCAAAACAGGGGTCTCATGAATATTGTATGATCCTGAAAGTATATTTTTATTTTTGAAAATATATCATCTCATGTGTGGAGAGCAAATCCCATAGGGAAAAAAAAGACTTTTAGAAAAATATTTTTCTAATGATCTTCTAAATTATCTAAATTTATAATGTTGGGGTCTGCCTCGATCAGTGATTCTCAGCCAGGCTGCTGCATCACTCTAGGGTGTCTTGACATCCTTTCAAGGGTGCTTTGGGGTGCCATACAATGTGCAAATATGATTCAGAATGCCCCCCCAACACATGCATTTCAAAGAGAAATGCATAGTGTAGAAAACTTTCTGACCCTGTCGCAGAGCACTTAGGTGCCCTGCGCCTGAGAACAGGGATGGCTCCAGAGAGCCCCTAGTGGTGAGAAGGGGGAGGCGCAGCCGCCAGTCACCAGACCAACACAGGTGCTGGTTGCCGGGGCAACTGGCGAAACCCCCTGACAGGAAGGGGCAGGGCTTAGTCTTTCTTAAGCCCAGGCAGGAGGCTAGGGTGGCAGTTCCTCCTCTGACAGCCAAGGAGTGAGGAGCTCAGCCAGGGCAGAGAGAAGGCCAAGGTTTGGCTACACGAGTATCCGCGGGTTGCTGCGGGAATATTTGTGAACTGTTGTGTGACTGGATGGTTTAGCTTTATGTTATAGCCCGGGGGCTTTATGTTTTGTGTTTATTGTTCACCGGAGGACTGGGTGAGGCTATAAGGGGTGGAGGAGGTCTCATAGGGACCCCACAGTAGCGTGGGGGGTTCCTGGTGCTGCAGAGGGTGCAGCGTTGTTTGGGGTGCATTGGTCCCAGCCCTGACTAAAGGGGGCAGCGAAGAGCCCCAGAGTTAGAGGGCAGCGGGGAACCCTGAGAGTGCAGAGGAACCCTGAGAGTTCAGAGGGGTGTTGAGGAGCCCCGAGAGTGCAGGAGAGCCCCGAGAGTGCAGAGGGGCAGCAAGAAGCCCTGAGAGCGCAGAGGAACCCTGAGAATGCAGAGGGGTGTGGAGGAGCCCCGAGAGGGCAGAGGGGCAGTGAGGAACCCCGAAGGTAAAAAGGAGGGCTGAGATATAACAGGGTTAAAGTCAGATCACACCAGCACCATCTGTGAGGCTTGGGCTGTGGTGTAGGGGAGGAAAAGGAGCTGCAGATAGCACCCCCTGTCATCGGGGCGTGTAGAAATGGGCAGCCTCCCACTAATTATGACAATCTATTAATTAAATAAGATCAAGGTGTGGCAGGCGAGTAAGCAGGCAGGTGGCCCATTACAGGAGGGTGGGGCCATACCCGGAGAGGCTCCACTAGCAGCACTCCTGTCACAGACCTGTTGTGGTCTTTCTAAGTTTTTTGCAATAGAAGAATTGCTCTGTTTTTCTACAATCAAAAAATGAGTGACAGTGAAGAGCTGACACTTTCTAAGCGGTGCCTTGAATCTAAAAAGGTTGAAAACCATTGGCCTAGATGAACAGCTGAGTGGTGATGAAGATGGCATTTTATCAGTTACATTTGACAAGAATGGAAGAGCCTTATCCAGGGTTGCCAGCTGTCCATAAAGTTTATGATGGTTAGTAAAA